CAATTTACTTTCCCAACAGTAATAATAAAAAGAACATTTATCTTGTCTGAAATTAGGATATGAAAGATCTGTCAATTATAAGAGATTTTCATTCATTCCGCAAAGATGTAGGAAGTGGTCCTGTATAACCTTAGAACATAGCAAGGAGCAAGACAGAATGGGACTAGGGAGGTAGCTCAATGGTAGAATGCTTATCTAGCATGTGCTGAGGCTCTGAGCTCAATCCCCAGCATCATCACCACCAAAAAAGAAAAAAGGTATCATGAAGCTAGCGCTCCAGTAAAAGAACAGGAGAAAATATGATAAACTGTAATAAAGAATTTGACAAAGACATAACAAGGTTCAGATAGTTATAGGATCGGTTGGAGGTGGGTAAGCCTGTTTAAAAAGGATGGTCAGGAAAGCCCTTATTCCAGAGGCAAATGAGAATGAGTATAAATGGAAGAGGTTCCCAGAAAGGAAATCGAGACCTCAACTCAGCCATAGAGGGTTATTGACTTACACCACAGAGAGGAATTTCAGGGTGCCTAAGAAGAGGAACAAGAAATTTTTGTTTTGCTTTGTTTTTTAGGAAAGGGAGGAAATTTATTTAGAAAAACAAACAAAAGCAGGATATATATACTCAAAAGGAGAGGGAGTGCAGGCACTCCAGAGCTAGATCTGCTTCAGCAGCCTCCGGCTTCTTTTAAAGAAAACAGAGACCAGGAAATTCATAAGGGGTGGCATCAGCCTAATGAACTGGATTCCTTTGATTGTGGTGCACAAAGTAGGCCTACTGGTCTGGTTCTTTTCAAAATCTTCAGGTTAACATTATCTAGTTAATATATAACACTTAGACAATACCCATATCATGGGTTCTCTAGGCTTCTTTTAATCAGTCTAAAAATACATTCTGGCCTGGCTGTGGTGGCACACACCTGTAATCCTAGTGACTTGGGAGGCTGAGGCAGGCAGATTTCAAGTTCAAGGCCAGTGTGGGCAACTTACTGAGACTCTGTCTCAAAATTAAAAGGGCTGGGGATGAAGCTCAAAGGCAGAGCACCCTTGGATTCCATCTCCAGTACCTCAAAAAATAAAATAAATAAA